CGAACACAGAGTACAAAAGAATAAAAAAGAATAAATAAAATGCTGACAAGAAACTAAAATGATAATCTAATAATAAACCTCAGAATATATTTCCATTAATTAATTAACTCTTTTGATGCAACTGATCCTCCAAAATACAACTCGGGAATCCATACTGTGTGGACCCCTAGAAAATCCAAACTAAACAAATGACAACAATAACTGTCTAAATCAGGAAAGTGAATCATAAAGGAACTCCTATGTAGCATCGGAAGAATGAAGTAGACTGATCCTCGCTTAGCACGAACAACCTCTATTCCTAACGAACACCTGAAAAATAATGGTGGGTCAGGCCCACAAACAAGTTCTACTCTACTACAGTCCAAGCAGAGATCCGATACACGTATACATCATAGTCAATCCAACAGTAACTAGTAGTCCGTATATATATATATATATATATATATATATATACACACTAAAGGAACCTCACTAGACTATAGGGTTGTCTCAACCTGAATAGTAGGCAACATGCAAAACGCACATATAGTGGGCATGAATACCTAGACCTACCAGGGCACACAACTATACTATATCTAGCTACACATCCCTGGCGATATACGCGCCCTAACCATTGATTCTGAGACTCAAGCTCATATCATGGCACCATACTTATATATATATAATCTAGTAACCATCCTATCCAGTATAAATTAATCCTCCATAAGTCATTCAACTTGTTCAGCTGACCTGACTTGAATATAAGTAAGACTTAACATTTTAGCTAATCCATTCCCTTATATAATAAATTAATCATCCATAAGTCATTCAACTTATTCAGTTGACCTGACTTAAATATAAGTAGGACTTAACATTTTAGTTAATCCATTCCCTTATACAAAATAGGTAGGACTTAACTAATAAGTTAATCCATCCCTAGAATGCCACCGTCCCATACCGGTGCATTAAACCACACAATCCAACAATTGATGTAACAATTAAGAAAATACATAAAACATTCCATAAATAACTATGATAAATATGATATCAAGTTATCACATAATAGGAATGACTTATTATTTCTTTAAACTTCCTATATCATATGTCCTACACAAACTGAATCTTATACATGATGATATTTTATTATACCGTTAAATAAGGATTCTCCATATCCAATTCATCCTACACATTTAATCTCAATTGCTAAAATATTTTAAAAGATTAAATCAATTCGTTTGTTTAAAACATTCAAATAGCAAGCATCATTATGATTGAGTCTATTTAAATTTATTAAAACCCAAACCTAATCCCTATTTAATGTTCAGGAATCTTAGGCATGTTTCTACGTTCCATCATTCCACAGATATGAAAAATACATAATTTAAACATGTAAAAATTCACATAAGAAATCAAATCAAAATCATGCATTTTATCAATTCATAACACAAGAACAGATATGAACCAATTTCATAAAACCTATGTTCTAACCCAATTAAACATGCATAATTATTTAATTTTATGTGTTTAATAAATTCTAGAATTTCCTAGGCATGTATAGAAACACGAATCAAAGGGAAAGAGATAGAAAAAGAACTTGCCTTAAACTTTCAGATCGAAAGTTAAACTTCTTCTTCCTTGATCTTCTCTCTACAGGGTTTTTTTCCTCCTTTCTTCATTTTCATCATTCCCTCTTTAACTCTTTCTCTCTAGAATGTATCACGTGAATATTTTTAACCCCCTTTTACAACTTATAGTTATATATTTATAGGTTAAATAAAATAACCCAAACCATTCTCCCAATCCAAGTCAACTTTAACAAAAAAAAAATATTAAAATATTAAAAAAGTAAGTAAAATATGTTACATATATAATTTATGTATATCTTTATTAAATAAATAAATTATACGCATCCCATTATTTATTAATCGATTATCCAATAATACTTGAGTTATCATAATATTATAAAGTAACTTAAAACATAACACGTATCAAATTTATGTATATTTTTATTATTTAAATATAAAACATATACATAAGATTAAATATTACTACCCAAGTTACCATAAAAGTAATTAATAAATTACTTTCCCTTTTATATATATTAAAAAGATAAGTAAAATATGTTACATATATAATTTATGTATATATTTATTAAATAAATAAATTATACACATTCCATTATTTATTAATGGATTATCCAATAATACTTAAGTTACCATAATATTATAAAGTAACTTAAAATATAACACGTATCAAATCTATGTATATTTTTATTATTTAAATATAAAATATATACGTCAGATTAAATATTACTACCCAAGTTACCATAAAAGTAATTAATAAATTACTTTCCTTTTTATATATGTATATAATATATATCTATATATATACATACACAACTATCCATGGGTAATAATCCACACACATCCAACCTCCTATTCAAGTAGTTCATGGGACCCAATTGGTTGGCACATTACTACTAACCATAACCATAAAAAATAATAATAATAATAATAATAAAAGAAAAGAAAACATTTAATTTACAATTAATCAAAACACCATTTAAACACATAATCTAATTAAACATTTAACACATAAACAAATACAAATAATACATAAACACATAATCAAATAATTAAGAAATACCTAATTCAATTAAATACATAAGTAATTAGTCAAATAATCAATTAAATAATTAACAATACATTTAAAACAAATAAATAAATACCGAGAGTATCCTTTTAAAATTAGGGGTATTACATTTGTGGTTAAGTCAGATCAACTGAATAAGTTAAGTAGCTAATTGGATTTTAAATTGTATGTCAGATCAATGAACAATTGAATGACATACTCTAGTTTTGGACGGACTTTAAATATATGATTATGGTACCACGAGATGACCTTGAGTCTCAGGCTCATTGGTTAGGGAGCGTATATGCATTGGGATGCATAGCTAACTATGACGGTTGTGGTGTACCCTATTAGGTCTAGGTACTCATGCCAACCACTGGTGCGTTTTGCATGTTGCATTTTATTCAGGTTGAGGCCTCTTTGTAGTCCAGTGAGAGTCCCTTAGTGTGGATATATATTTATGTATGGACTAGATAGATATTGTTGAGATATCTAGGATGTATCTGCGTATCAGGTTTCCGTTTAGATTGTGTTAGAATAAGACTTGTTCGTGGACCTGACCCACTCTTATTTTTTCAGGCGTTCGACGGTTCCAGCCTTAGAGTTTGATCATGCTGAGCGGGGACAGTCACTCATTCATCTGTTTACGTAGGACTTCTCTCTATGTTTTAATTTGGGATTTTATTTTCAGTTATTCAATTTCAGTTGGGATTTTTATTAGGGGTCCACTAGATGAATTCCCGAGTTGTACTCTTGGAGGTTTTGGAAGGATTGGATTTTATTAATCTTTATTATTTGAGGATTTTATATTTAGATTTCCTTTAACTTTGTTATTTATTCTTTAATTCATTTTTTGTATTTCTGCTTGTTCATATATTAATTGTTTGATATTCCCTCGAATTTGAGCTTGGGCCTGATTAACCCATGTCTCGGAATCAAGAGGTATCACATGATCAAAAATGGATTTTGCAAATCCCGCTTAGTTTATCTAGGAGGAAGGATACCAAAATTTGGGGTATGGATATTTCTTGGAAGTTTAGTGTAAAAAGTGTTTATTTTCTCGTTTTGTCATCCCTCAAACCTCCATTTGTTTCTTTCCTTAGTGTGGAGTGTAGTTATTCTCACTTATTGAACCAACGGTGGAAAGACATATGGAAGATTTATTCCTCGAGGAAAGTTCAATTTTTCCTATATATGGCAAAGTTTACATGAGAAGATTATAGTTAATGTGAATTTAAAGAGGAGGAAGGTAAAGGAGCAAGCGTTTTGCAAAGGATGTGGGCTACCAGCTGAATCAGTTTCTCATTTGTTGTGCACTTGTTCGTTTTCTCAAATGGTGTGGAAGCTTTGTCCCCTCCGTTTGAGTTTTTCAGAGTCTGATGGTATGAGTTGGCCTCGCAGATGGATTCAACTTGTTGAACTTTGGAAGGAAAATAATTGTTATGAGGAGTGTGTAGGGTTGGCTTCAATTATCTGTTGGCACTTATGGAAGAACCGAAATGATGTGGAATTTAATGACAAGAGATTGTCTCCTCACATTATTGTGGACAATGCAGTTCAAGATTATTTTGAATTTTCTGAAGTTTGGCATCAACAAAATCTCCTTAAGATGCCTCATTTCTTGAATTCGTTACCTTCGTCTCATTCGCAGCCTCCGGCAGAGGGCATTGTAGAATTAAATTTTGATGCATCTTTCTACCAGACGGATGGAATGTGTAAAGGAGCTTGGATTCTGAGGGATCATGAAGGCAAGCTTAAGAAAATTGCTTCTGTGTCTTTTATGGGTGTTTCATCAGCTTTGGTGGCCGAGGGTTTGGTGCTTCGATTGGCTCTGGTGGCCTGTCATGAGTGGAATCTTTCCAATGTGGTGATTGAAGGTGATTGTCAACCTGTTTTAAGGTCTTGCAAATCTGAAGAAGCTCTGGTCACAATCCTTGAAGACGTTGATATTTTCATCAACTAGATGCCTTCGATCCAGTTACAGTGGGTTCCTCATTCATGTAATAAGGCAGCTCACGAGGCGAGCAAAGTCGCTCCATTTTTTGTTAGTTTGGTTACTGCGTGAGAGTCCATTCCTCTAAATGTTAGGAAAGCTCTCTTTTCTTATGCTTGTTTTGGGGCTTAGGTCTCTATTTTCAGTGTTTTTGAAAAATAAAATAAAATAAGAATAAGAATAAGAATAAGAATAAGAATATCCAAAGATCCAAGCGTTAGAGAACAAGGAGAAGATCAAATCAATCACCGGACGACGAAGTCCCATCCGGCACATCAACCGTGCTTGTAATTTTATTAACCAAAAATTCAAAGACAAAATGACAAAAACAAAGGGACCACGAAACTGTGTGACAACGACTTCGTGGATGACAATTTCTTTCTTTAAGAGGCAAAGCTTTTCAACCACAAAAAGTTCTTCAAGTCTGCTATACTTTGAATTACAAATTTGGATCTGAGTGAATCACAGTGAGAAGATCGGAGGATCCAACAAGTTTTAATGGATCATCAAGTAGCACCACCACTCCCTCCTCACGTGCTCGTCTTCCCGTTGCCGATTCAAGGCCACGTGAACTCCATGCTCAAGCTGGCCGAGCTTCTGTGTCTTGGCAAGCTACATGTGACCATGCTAGTCTCCGAGTATAGCCACAGCCGCTTCCTCCGGCACACCCATGTCCATTCCCACTTCGCTCGCTATCCCGGATTTTCTTTCAGGACAATTCCGGATGGCCTGCCCGACGATCATCCGCGTGCCGGTGAGAGATTTATGGAGATTTTTCCTTCTCTTAAGTCCGTAACGGGGCCACTATTCAGAGAGATGATGATTGGCACCAATTTCTTGGGTACTGGAACAAGGCGGCCTGTGACATGCATCATAGCAGACGGGATCCTGGGTTTTGCTGGTGATTTGGCTATCGAGAGAGAAATTCCACTTATTTATTTTCGCACTATCAGTGCTTGCTCATTTTGGGCTTATTTTTGTTTGCCTCAACTCATTGAAGCTGATGAAATTCCCTTGAAAGGTATGTTAATTTTTTGGCACTCTTGTTTGGTTAAGGAGGAACTGGTTTTATAGAGTATATATGTTGATTCAGTTTATTATTTTTGTATAGTAGTTTTCTAGCTATTCACATTGAACCTAGAAAAAAAATTAATGAAGTTGTATTTTGTAATATTAATATTCTTACAAACTGCTTTCTAATTATGTTTGTCGAAATTTTTTGTTTAGAGTGGCATTAGGCCTGTTCTTTTCTTTTTTTATTTTATTTAGATAACCGATATTCAAGCTTTGGCCTTAACTAATTCCCGAGGGCTTAGGAAGGGCAGCCTCCCCACCCGTGGTAATACGAGTCTTCAATCACAAAGACACATCATTTTTCATTTCAATTTTTTTTTTTTTTTTAAGTAAAATAGTCACACTCTCTATTATGAAACTCAAATCCCCCACCGCTCCTCAATCTGAAAGGGACGGGAAATTATACCAATCACACTAATGATAGTGATAATACGTTTTTGTGTTTTGGTAATTTGTTTTCTCAATAACAACCACATAATACTTTGCAACTATCATGTGTTTAAGAAATGGCATGGACCTACCGGTAAAGAGCGTACCAGGCATGGAGGGTTTTCTCCGGCGACGTGACCTTCCGAGTTTTTGTCGTGTTGACGAAGTTAATGATTTGCAATTAGAACTCTTCAACGCTGAGACAAGACAAAGTCGACGAGCCCAAGCACTAATAAAGAACACATTTGATGACCTAGAAGGACCCATACTCTCTCAAATTCGTACTCATTGTCCCAACCTCTTCCCCATCGGACCACTTCATGCGCACCTAAAAGCTAGACTTGCAGCAGATACCAACTCTTCCTCAACCTATTCGAGTAGTTTCTGGGAGGAAGATCGAAGTTGTGTGACATGGCTCGATTCGCAACCGTCCAAATCTGTTATCTACGTGAGCTTTGGAAGTCTCACTATTGTGACAAAACACCAACTCATGGAGTTTTGGTATGGTCTGGTGAATAGTGGGCAGCGGTTCTTGTGGGTCATGCGGCCAGACTCCATTGCCGAAAAAGATGAGGGTCAGATTCCGGTGGAGCTTGTGGAGGGCACGAGGGAGAGGGGGTACATGGTGGAATGGGCCCCACAAGAGGAGGTTCTGGCCCACGCAGCTGTTGGTGGGTTTTTGACCCACAGTGGGTGGAACTCCACTTCGGAGAGCATAGTCTCGGGTGTGCCAATGATTTGTTGGCCTTACTTTGCAGACCAAACAATCAATAGTAGGTTTGTTGGTGAAGTTTGGAAACTTGGTTTGGACATGAAAGATACTTGTGATCGAGTTGTAATTGAGAAGATGATCAGAGATTTGATGGATGTTAAAAAAGATGAGTTTCAAGAACGAGCGAATCATATGGCAAAGTTGGCGAAACAAGCTGTAAGTGAAAATGGGTCGTCCTACTGTAATTTGGATAATCTGATTAAATACATAAAATCAATGATTGAGTAATAAAGTTGAAACAAATTGTTTGGAGGAGTTTCTAACTCGGTGGTGGAGAAGTGAGATGATAATGGTGGTGGTGGTTCTGAAATTCCGGCAAAGAGTAGGAAAGGAGACAGACACGGGTTTAACCCGCATAAATGAACATTACTCATGTTTTTATTATTTTTAATATCGGACAAGTGTCAGGCCAGGTCAATTGGGAGGAAGTATTACTCATTTTTATAGAAAATAAAGAATAATAGTTCAGTCATGCCTATTTTGCATATTAATGTGTCTCAATAAGAGGTTAATATTTTTTTTAAATTTAAACACTATAAAATGAATTAAAAGACGAGTAAATTCAATAAAGGTAGAGAATCGAAATCTAAGGTTCCAAAATTCAACAAATGCTCTATCACCCTTTTAACTTTTGAGAAATCTACATTTATTACATCATAAGCCAAACATGGTGCAAGTATATTTGTCCTCTTCATTTAAAAAAAAAAAATTATTTAGTGAAAGAACAATCCAACTAAGCCGTCCAAGATTGACACCTCAAGTGTCAGATGATACTACCATATCACTTTCCGTTCACACTCGCAATCCATTGCGTTTTCTCACATAGCGCATGCGTCACTGATGAGAGTATTCAGAAGTGGACCCCACTGTCCCAATAATATCAATGATTCAATAGAAGTTAAAACAAAGGGTAAAAAACCAAACGAATACGTGATTGTAAGAACGACTTAGTGGATGCAATATTCATTCTTTAATGGAATAATACAATGTATGTAAAGAGGCAAAGCTTTTCAAACCACAAGTCCGACGAGTTTGCTACACTTAGAATTACAAGTTTTGGATCTGAACCAAATCACAGTGATCGGATTGGAGGATCCAAGAAGCTTTAATGGATCATCAATCAGTACAAGTACCACTCCCTCCTCACGTGCTCGTCTTCCCGTTACCGATTCAAGGCCACATGAACTCCATGCTCAAGCTGGCCGAGCTTCTCTGTCTCGGCAACCTCCACGTGACCATGCTCGTCTCCGACTTCAGCCACAGCCGCCTCCTCCGCCACACCAGTGTTCATTCCCACTTCGCTCGCTATCCCGGATTTCGTTTCAGGACAATTCCCGATGGCTTGCCTGACGACCACCCGCGTGCCGGTGAGCGACTTATGGATATTATGCCATCTATAAAGTCCGTCACGGCGCCACTATTCAGGGATATGATGATTGGAGCCAATTTCTTGGGTACCGGAACAAGGCGGCCTGTGACGTGCATCATAGCAGACGGGATCCTGAGTTTTGCTGGTGATTTTGCTATCGAGAGGGGGATTCCATATATTTCTTTTCGTACTGCCAGTGCTTGCTCTTTTTGGGCTTATTATTGTATTCCGGAAATCATTGAAGCTGACGAAATTCCTTTGAAAGGTATGCGAAATTTTTCCAATCTAGGACGAGGGGGAAATAGTTTTATAAAGTCGTTGGTTGATTCAGATTTTTATTTTAACATGGCTTTCTATTCAAATTGGACATAGAAAATCATTTTAAGGTTTATTTGGTTGACCATTATTAAAATTACTTTCTGAACACTGATTTGAAACTTTAATATATTAATATAGTTAAAAATGAGTTAAGTTTGTCTGAAAATTTGGGTTGGAGTTGTATTAGGCCTATTCATGAGTTTTTATTTTTATTTTTTATTTTTTTTTGCGCCTGATTTAAGGATGATTGTAATGTTTCCTGAACAATCACACATACCCACAAATGTGTAATTGGGGCTCCAATCCCTCACCCCCTCTCAAGGGAGGAGTGGAGAGGAGAGATTACACCTATAAAGCAGAAGTGAAGGGGGCCATGGATCCCCCAAAATTCTTTCACACACACACCCATAAATTATTTTTATAAATGCACTTACATTGGGAAGAAAATCTCTTCCAGTGAACTCATGTTACATCTAGTTCAATCCGTTAAATTAAATTGAATTCTTGAACAATGTTTTTTCTTATTATTTAAATTTATCCATGGATACAGGTTTATATTTATTTTAAACTGTACATATCTAAGTTTTTAAAAATACGTATATTATTGTATCTTATTCTTTAAGAATTTGTGGAATTGAAGTATATGTATCTTATCATGCTTTATAGGTGACTTTATTTAGTGATACGGGATGTTTCTTCTATTTGTTGGGAAAGGAAGTTCTATATATGTTATATATAATTGCTTTTTTATTTAGATTATAGTAATTATTGTAGTATGATTCATAATATTATAAAAAATAAAAATAAAAAAAAACTGATAGAAAATAATTTTTTTTATTATTGTATCCTTTTTTATTATTATTATTATTATTGTCATATTATCGTACCAGTATTGTGTATCCATATTACCAACCAAATTGATATTCTCGTGATAAAGAAAATTCATATTCCAAATGTTGAATCTATTTTATTTTGCCTTAATTAGTTTTCTCAATAACAACCACACAATATGTTTCTGGTACTACATGTTCAGGAAATGGCATGGACTTACCGGTAAAGAGTGTACCAGGCATGGAGGGTTTTCTCCGGCGACGTGACCTTCCGAGTTTTTGCCGTGTGGACGAAGTAAATAATCCGAATTTGCAACTTGTACAAACGGAGACCAGAAAAAGCTTTCGAGCCCAGGCATTGATAAAGAACACTTTTGATGAGCTAGAAGGACCCATACTCTCTCAAATACGTGCTCACTGTCCAAATCTCTTCTCCGTCGGACCACTTCACGCTCACCTAAAAGCCAGACTTGCAACAGAAACCAAGTCTTTCTCAACCTCTTCAGGTAGTTTTTGGGAGGAAGATCGAAGTTGTATGACGTGGCTCGATTCTCAAAAGTCCAAATCTGTAATCTACGTAAGCTTTGGAAGTATAACTGTTGTGACAAGAGACCAACTCATGGAGTTTTGGTATGGACTGGTGAATAGTGAGCAACGGTTCTTATGGGTCATGCGGCCAGACTCCGTAGCCGGAAAAGACGGGGAGAGTCAGATTCCGATGGAGCTCGTGGAGGGAACCAAGGAGAGGGGTTACATGGTGGAATGGGCCCCACAAGAGGAGGTTCTGGCCCACCCAGCTGTTGGTGGGTTTTTGACTCACAGTGGATGGAACTCAACTTTGGAGAGTATAGTATTGGGTGTGCCAATGGCTTGTTGGCCTTATTTTGCAGACCAGACAACTAATAGTAGGTTTGTTAGTGAAGTTTGGAAAATTGGTTTGGACATGAAAGATACATGTGATCGAGTCATAATTGAGAAGATCGTCAGAGATCTGATGGATATCAAAAAAGATGAGTTTCAAGAACGAGCGAATCAGATGGCAAAGTTGGCGAAACGAGCTGTGTGTGAAGGCGGCTCATCGTACTGTAATTTGGATCGTCTGATTAAGTACATAACATCAATGATTGAGTGATCAAGATGAGGGGTAAATCTTATGTGTTCAAATGGAATAAATATAGGGAAAATTACATATAAATGGAGTTAAAGTTTCATATTTACTTAGAGACTGAGTCAAAGTTCCATATTTCTCTAAAATGGATTGCTGAGGTGGCACATGGTTTTTTACTGTTTAAAAAATTGTGGTGCCTAAAATGCCCTTCCCTAACAAAAAAGTAGTACCTTCAGTTCAAAAAAGTAGTACCTCTGGAGAAAAAGTAGTACATTCGCGGGTGTTTAAAAAACATGGTACCTGGACACCAAAAAGTAGTACCTTCAGTTCAAAAAAGTGGTACCTTTGAAGAAAAAGTAGTACCTTCACGGAAGGGTATTTTAGGCACCACAATTTCTAAACAGTAAAAAACCATGTGCCACCTCAGCAATCCATTTTAGAGAAATATGAAACTTTGACTCAGCCTCTAAGTAAATATGAAACTTTGACTCCATTTATATGTAATTTTCCCATAAATATATACTATATTTATTTGTAAATATATAATATTTCTATTCTATCTCTTACAATTAAATTTGTGTTATTAAATGTAAGAAGTCAAAATATAAATTTATTAGCAATTGGATTGCTGAAAGAAGGATTATTTTCACAGTTTTATATGTGTCATTAACTAAATGTATTATTATTATTTTTTTTTATAACAACTTTGAATTGTCTTTATGTTTTTTATAGTCAGTTATGATATTTACTTTTCAAAAAAAAAGAAAAACAAAACAAAACAAAACAAAACAAAACAAATGGAGTGTAAGCGGAAAAAAGAAAAGTTTGAATATCATCTTTTTCAAAAATTATGGGCATGTATTATAACCAAGGGCGGATACAACTTTTCTGACTGGGTTAACTTTAGATTGGGCTATCATTACTATTTTTTTTTTTTTTTTTTTTTGAGTTAGGCTTAAAGTAGTATGGTAAAAAAAAAAAAAAAAAATTGGGTGGGTTGAAACCCAGGTTCGCCCACCCTTGGATCCGCCCTTGATTGTAACAATCTTCACCCTGTTTTGTTGTCCTGGACCAAACACTTCCCAAAGGGTTACTCAACTTGGTATACCTCGAGAGTAAGCATTGTTAATTTTGAAATTCCGATGAGTTCACGGGCATCACGACTTTAAAACACGTTGTATCATAAAAATGTATTAAACCTTACATATATCATTTTACATTTTCTATACTATGTGGGATTATGACATCCTGTAACCTGTCAATGTGGTAGCTTGTTGAGTGTCTCGCACCCACCCACATCACACCAACCTACTCATATGCATGTTTTTTTATAATAAAATATCGAAATGTGTAAGTATCAGATTATGTCAACACGGGGCACGTGAATTAGCTACGTGGCTCTTTCAGACGTCAAAAGAAAATCCTCACGTCACACTAGGTTATCAAACCTCAAGAATATGACTCTCGCGTCTTAAGAAAATCCTACCATCATGCTATAGCTAGGTTACAAAACCTCAAAAGTATGACCTTTGAGTCCAAAGAAAACCTTGACGTTGTGTCAAGTTACCAAATCTTAAAAGTATGATTGACTATCTAGTTCAAAAAAAATCTTAATACCTTGTCAGGTCATCAAATTTCAAGAATCGTGACCCTAATAGCATATCAGGTCATCAAATCTCGAGAGTCGACTCTCAAGTCTAAATAAAACCTTAATGTCATGCCAAGTGATCATCGAATCTTGAGAGTGCAACTATGGAGTCCCAAAGGAAATCCCTTAGCTATCCTTGGCCGCCAAACCTCAAGACCCAGCACATGACATGTCCTAGTCTCAAGCCAAGATTGTAAGTTATAAAACAAAAATAAAGGTCGAGCTATCTTAGGTATCTACAATTATAATGATTTTAGATTGGTGGGCGAGAAGTTAGAATATGCTCAAGACAAGTACAACGTTTACTCAAAAAAAGGATGGTGAACATGCATGTGATGTGACAGAGACTCTTGCAATCACCATTAGTACACTGCTTAAAACTATTACTGTTTCAACCGCCGCTTAAACAGACGAACAATAAACCAATTCAACTTTCCCTAGTATTTTCAACTGAGAGGCCGCAGAGGCATCCAGCACATGAAAAACTTCACGGGTCAATTTGAATAGCTGTCTGCCACGCATGATGCAAATAGGGTGACTCATGGTGGATTGGTAGTCATGGGGTGAGAACGAGCAACGACAAAGTTCCCCAACTGAAAAGAAATAATTAAACAAAACTTATCAAATAAAAAATAAAAATAAAATTTAAAGACAAAATGACAAAAACAAAGGGACCCCTGTGATAAGGACTTGGCGGATGACAATTCCTTTCTTTAATTATACAATGTACCGTAAAGAGCTTTTCGACCACAAGTTCTTCGAGTCTGCTATACTTTGAATTACTACAAATTTGGATCTGAAGTAAATCACAGTGAGAAGATCGGAGGATCCAACAAGTTTTAATGGATCATGATCAATCGGCAACACCACTTCCTCCTCACGTGCTCGTCTTCCCGTTGCCGATTCAAGGCCACGTGAACTCCATGCTAAAGCTAGCCGAGCTTCTCTGCCTCGGCAACTTACATGTGACCATGCTCGTCTCCGAGGATAACCACGCCCGCCTCCTCCGCCACACCCATATCCATTCACACTTGGCTCGGTATCCCGGATTTTGTTTCAGGACTATTCCGGATGGCCTCCCTGAGGACCATCCGCGTGCCGGTGGGCCACTTCGGGAGATTTTTTCTTCTATAAAGTCCATCACGGGGCCACTATTCAGAGATATGATGATAGACACCAATTGTTTGGGTACGGAAACAAGGCGGCCTGTGACATGTATCATAGCAGACGGGATCCTGGGTTTTGCTGGTGATTTTGCTATCGAGAGGGGAATTCCACTCATCTATTTTCGCACTGCCAGTGCTTGCTCTTTTTGGGCTTTTTTTTGTTTACCTCAGCTCATTGAAGCTGATGAAATTCCCTTGAAAGGTATGTTCTATTTTTGCCATCTTGTCTGGTTTAGGGGGAAATGGTTTTATAAAGTAGATTGATTCGTTTTTTCATTTTCGTACAGTAGTTTTGTAGCTATTCACGTTGAACACAGAAAACAATTTTTAAATTTATTTGGTCTATCATTTTTGAGATTTTCTGAATATAACTTCATTAAATAATAAGGGTCATTTTTTGACATTTCAACTTCAAAAAGCTGACAGTAGCGATACCATCCAACTTGAACATAGAAAGCAATTTAAAATTTTATTTGGTTGTCATTTTTTAATAATTGCTTTTTAATATTAATATTCTTAAAAACTTATTTCGAGTTTTGTTTGTCTAAAATTTTTGTTTAGAGTTGCATTAACCCGATAACAATGACAATAAATATGTTACTCCTATTATGTGTTTAGGAAATGGCATGGACTTGCTGGTAAAGAGTATACCAGGCATGGAGGGTTTTCTACGACGACGTGACCTTCCGAGTTCTTGCCGTGTCGACGAAGTTAATGATTCACATTTGCAACTCTTCAAAGTCCAGACCAGACGAACCACTCGAGCCCAAGCAGTGATAAAGAACACGTTTGATGAGCTAGAAGGACCCATACTCTCTCAAGTACGCGCCCACTGTCCCAATCTCTTCTCCATCGGACCACTTCACGCGCACCTAAAAGCCAGACTCGCAGTAGAGACCAACTCTTCCCCAAACTCTTCAAGTAGTTTCTGGGAAGAAGATCGAAGTTGTTTGACGTGGCTCGATTCCCAGCCGTCCAAATCTGTGATCTATGTCAGCTTTGGAAGTATCACGGTAGTGACAAGAGATCAACTGTTGGAGTTTTGGCATGGTCTAGTAAATAGTGGACAACGGTTCTTGTGGGTCATGCGACCGGACTCCATCGCCGGAAAAGATGAGGAGAGTCAGATTCCGATTGAGCTTGTGGAGGGCATGAAGGAAAGGGGTTACATGGTGGGATGGGCCCCACAAGAGGAGGTTCTGGCCCACCCATCTGTTGGTGGATTTTTGACTCACAGTGGGTGGAATTCAACTTTGGAGAGCGTTGCCTCGGGTGTGCCAATGATTTGTTGGCCTTACATTGCTGACCAGACTATTAATAGTAGGTTTGTTAGTGAAGTTTGGAAACTTGGTTTGGACATGAAAGATACGTGTGATCGAGTCCTAATTGAGAAGATGGTCAGAGATCTGATGGATGTCAGAAAAGATGAGTTTCAACAACAAGCGAATCAGATGGCAAAGTTGGCCAAAGAAGCTGTGAGTGAAGGTGGCTCATCATACTCTAATTTGGATCGTCTTATTGAGTATATAAAATCAATGATAGAGTGAGTTAGGGGGAAAGATTGTCGGAATATATATTTTTTATTTTTATGAAGGGGGTATTTGTGACTAAAAAAGTACTAAATAGAAAGTCATGGATATAAACTCCCTTTGAATTTTTTTTTTACACAAAACACCCCTCACGAAGGGTATACTCAACTACTTCTGAGACCAAAAAATGCCCCTTATTTACTGATACGCCGTGCTCTTGTTCTGTTCCTTTAGCCCTCATCTTCCACAGGTCTTCTCTCTTTCTTAGCATTCATATCATATTACATCATATAATAACTCATACATATATATATATGATATCTATCTATATTCATTTTCGTACCTTTTTAATAATGGCTAATGAAGCTACTAGTCACAATTAATTAGCCAATTATATTTATACCTTTTAAATTTCAACACGAATAACTTATTATACATCACAATATCAACTAATTTAATTTCTGTCTCTAATGTCGATCGCTGTAGAACAAATATTCTCTTAATACTAATATAATACCTTTTAAATTTCAACACAAATACACTTACACGTTACATTATGAACTAATTAATCTAATATGGTCAATTTTTTAAAAGACAATTAGGTATTCTAATCATAGTTGGAGTGGTGTTGTTCAAATTTATAAATTTGAAAGAGATAATTAGATCTCACTCTTCGTAATTTGTATCTGTTTGTCTTTTTTAAAAACTTGAAGAGGGTATAAGTGTAAATTACCTTATTATTTTAATACAGATGCAAAAGAAAATGAAATCATAATTACAAATTAGGTCTAACTAACAAAATTTGTCCCTTCCTTTTTTATTTTATTTTCATCCATTTTCCTTCTTACCGACAAAGTAATATATAATTCACTACTTGCTATATTATATAAATTTTTGTGTTATGGATTTACTCAAAAATATATACACTTCCAGATGCAACGTCATGTTCAAATAAACAATTAATAAAATCATAAAAATGATGTGTGCAAATCTGCATGACAGGTTTTATATTGTTAAGCAAAAACCAATATTAATATAGATATGGTTAGATAATTATATGTTATATGACCTCTCCCAGAGCAGTTTGATCTACAATTAGATCTCCCGAACAGTTTAATCTATGATTAGATCACCATAAATACTTAAGGGCATTTTTATCTCAATAAATGGTTGAGCACCTCCTGGAATTTCAAAAGGTGAAGTTTATTACAAAGAAGTCTTGAGAATTTTTTACAATTCACCCATTTTTTAAAAATTACTTTAACCAAATTATTTAATTACAAAATTTAATATGTTATTTATATATATAAAGGAAATACTAACTAATAAATAAATACTAAGTGTTTGTGAATTTCAGTTCGCCAAAATAAAATATTTTATTTGGATAAAAAGAGTATAAAACAGAGGAAGACCAATCCAACTCAATTTCCCAGTACTGTGAAATGATATGTGATACATTGTCCACTATCACCAAAAAAGTTGGCAGCTTGTTTTATTTTTTTATAATATATATATCATAAAGCAAAAGATGCCGTAGAAAACTGAAAAAAAATAAATGACACCACCGCCTAACACCACGAATGAAAAAGAAAAGGATCAACTAAACAAAAATAATTGTACAACGCCATGATTCAGCATTTTGATCGTTCTAAGAAAGTAGATGATACTTCAAATATATTATTGGGTGAAAAGACAAGCACGATCTCAAGAATCATGTAAAGCTGACAAAACCCATTAATATTTTTGTCCCCTGACGAAAAATATTGTATATGCTGACAACCCAAAGGCCCTATCTATCAATCTCTTTGAAAATTTCAAACAATTGAAACAGAAACTCATGGATATGGATGATCTCCCACCGCATGTCCTCATCTTCCCTTTACCTCTGCAAGGTCCGGTGAACTCCATGCTGAAGCTCGCCGACCTCTTCTCCCTCGCCGGCCTCCACATCACCTTCCTCCTCACCGACCACATCCATTCTCGCCTCCTCCGTCACACCAATATTCAATCCCATTTCAATCGTTATCCCGGCTTTCGTTTTGAAACAATCTCGGATGGCCTTCCGCCGGAGCACCCCCGCGCCGGTGACCGCTACATGGATGTGTTTGCGTCTTTGAGAGCTGTAGCCAAGCCTTCGTTCAAAGAGTTGCTGACTTCCGGTCGATTAAGCTCCGATTCACGGCGGCCGGTGACGTGTGTCATCGCAGATGGAATTCTGAGCTTTACTCTTGAAGTTGGTGAAGAGATCGGAGTTCCAGTCATTTATTCACGAACGATCAGTGCTTGCTGTCTCTGGGTTTTTTTCTGTCTTCCCAAGCTCATTGAAGCTGGGGAGCTTCCTTTCAAAGGTCAGTCAGCCTAGCTACCTTAATTTCCGTTAATCCTCTGATTGGTTACTGAGAAAATGATTAAAAGGAAAAGCAATTCCCATTTCCATTTTCGAATCAAAAATTCAATTCAACTAAGAAAATTAGTTGTACTAGCCTCGTGAATATATTTCGCTTTCTGGATAATTTTGTGCATTTTCACACTCGTAGAAGTTGGATAACTAACCGTTCTAAATAAGTGGGTTAACTACTTCTATTTCCATTGACCCTATGTTCGGTTACTGAGAAAATGTTGAAAGGAAAAGCAATTCCTTCTTTTGTACATACCTATTTCTGTATTCGAATCAAAACCTAAATTCAACTGTGAAAAGTAATTGTACTATCCTGGAGAAGATATTTAGCTTTCTGGGCTTTTTTATGCATTGCCACATGGATAACTACCTTCTAAATTTAGTGGGTTAGCTACTTTAATTTCCATTGACCCTCCGTTTGGTTACTCAGAAAATGGAAAAATTAAGGAAAATGAATTTATTCTTTTTCTGTTTTGGACATACACAATATTGGGAAAAAAATTCAACTCAACTAAAAAATCACAACTCCCAATGATAATATTTTTTCCTTCTGTTTTCTCATTAACCAAACGAGTGGTCTATCAAAGCAATATGAAAATAGAAAAGATGGACTATTTTTCTGCTTACAGCCTTATACTTGAAAATGTGTAGGAACTGACTTGGATACACTGATAACGAGCGTGCCGGGGACAGAAGATTTTCTCCGGCAACGGGATCTTCCGAGCTTCTGCCGCTCCGGCGACCTAACCGACCCGAGTATCAAACTCCACATGACGGAGGGCCGAGAAACAACCCGAGGCTATGGTCTCATACTCAACACATTCGAAGAGCTAGAAGGACCCATACTCTCTCAGATGCGCACTCTCTGCCCAAATCTCTACCCGATCGGACCACTCCACGCCCACCTGAAAACCCGATTGGCAGCAGCGGAAACGACGTCGTCGTCACCGTTCTCATCAAACAGCTTATGGGAAGAAGACAAGACTTGTATTCAATGGCTGAATTCACAACCTCTGAGATCTGTCATCTATGTAAGCTTTGGAAGTTGTGCTGTCTTAACGAAGGACCAGTTAATGGAGTTTTGGCATGGGTTGGTGAATAGTGGGGTCAGGTTTTTGTGGGTCATACGGCCGGACTCCGTCGTCGGCGAGGATTGGGAGAGTCAGATTCCGGTGGAACTCTCGGAAGAAACCAAAAAGAGGGGGTATACAGTGGGCTGGGCTCCACAGGAGGAGGTGTTGGGCCATAAGGCTGTTGGCGGGTTTTTGACACACAGTGGGTGGAACTCAACTCTGGAGAGTGTCTACGCGGGTGTGCCTATGATCTGTTGGCCCTACTTTGTGGACCAGCAGGTGAATAGTAGGTTTGTTGGGGAGGTTTGGAGGCTTGGGCTGGACATGAAAGACACGTGTAATCGAGTCAAAATTGCGGAGATGGTCAAAGATCTGATGGTGGTGAGGAGGGAAGAGTTTGGGAAATCGGCTGATCGGATGGCGGAGATGGCGAGAAGGAGTGTGAGTGATGGTGGATCGTCCTACAATAATTTGGACCGTCTGATTGAGGACATCAGATTGATGAGCTTGCAGGATAAAAGTCAGGCGTGTTAAGTGGAAACCATTCATCGAAAGAGGTTGAGGAGTGGGGCCGCGGGGTTGTATCAACCAATTATTGAACATGTTTAATCATTAAACGTGGTATGGCCTATATTCTCACACTATTTGAACCATTTACTCTAACACAACAACATTATTGGGAACAAAATAGAAAAGATGGTTTGTATGAAGGATTACCTGCTTCTCGATTTTATTTTTTACAAAATTTGAGGTCCCATGTCTAACAAGTACAGTCTCTGTTGTCTCCATCAAGTACACGCATCAAGACTTGTATAGGCGTGAACATCATTAGGATTTCCAAATTTGTTTTGCAGGCATTAACCAAACTGATTTCATGGCTGGAAGTAATGCGATCTGAACTTGATAGTTTCTTTCATTTGGTATGAGAGCGATACCTTTTGGCTATGTTATCATTTGGTTTTTATGTCTGTAATATTTGTTCAGCGACTGTGTTGTCGTTCTTTTTCTGGCCTGTAATATTTGTTCAGCGACTGTGTCGCCGTTGTCTTTTTGGCCTGTAATATTTCCTTTGTGTTTTTGTTCTACATTATTTTTGGTGGGTGTGTTTCTGTTTGTAATATTTTTCTGATACTGTTTTATTGTTTTTGTGACGTTGGCTGGAATGAAGTGGTAGAATACTACACCCATAAGAATTGAAATGAATAAAGTGTTCAGACTCAAGCGGTTTAACGACTGCTTTAAATATGGGAGAATGTCATTGTGAATTTATACAGTGGGAACAACATTGGCTTTTTTGACGGTAAAAGTGATTCAGACCCGAGTGGTTTCACGACTGCTTTAAAAAAGGCTGAATTTCATCATAAAACCATAATATTTTAGAATGAATTTTTATTTATGCAGAATACTTTGGAGTTGTATAGTTTTGGAAATTTCTATACAAATGAAGAATACTCCAGAGTTGTACAGTTACTGCATATTAAAAAATTCATGTCCAATATATTCTCATACATGCAGTTTATTAAAGTATGAGTATAACTACTATTTTAATGTGTATTTTTAACCAGAGAGTAGCCATAGCATCTTTAGTTGTTGGTTTTATGATATAAAATAAAAAATAAAATAAAGTTTTAATATATGATATTTATATCACATAAAGATTATACATTAAAAAAGGTTATAATTCATTCATAAAAAGTGTTTTATTCTGCCCTACAGGGAATCATTATTTATGAATGAATGTGGATAAAAATGATTTTGGAATTAAACTGACAATGAATACAAATGCTCACATGACTATATCATTATCAGTTTAATATCTTTATTTATTCCATTATGGTAATATTTTTAAAAACATTATTGTATTAAAACCTTTATCCACAGGAAGGTTATAATGACACATTGTTTTGATATGAAATTTTTTAACGTGGGTTAAGAATTTCAATAAAGTTTATTGTATAGTAGAGTAATGTTTAGTATGTTTTCTTTTTACAGTAATTTCATCTGGTTCTGTCAATATTGGTTCATCTCATATCCCATTTTTAACTGGTGATAATTATTCGGATTAGAAGGAGAAAATCCTTCTAACATAGGGGTGCATGGACATTGATTTGGCACTTCGTGTGGATGAACCACCCATCCCCACGGAATCAAGTACGCCAAGTGAAAAGGCTTCTTATGAGAGGTGGGAGCGATCAAATCGCTTAAGTATGTGTCTCATTAAAAGTCATGTTGGGAAAAACATAAGGAGTTCAATTCCTGAATGTACTAAGGCAAAAGAATACATGGCAGCAATTGAACAACAGTTTGTAAGTTCTGATAAAGCATTGGCTAGCACCTTAATGACCAAATCATCATCAATGAAGCATATGGGTAATAAAGGGGTTCGTGAGCATATTATGGAAATGAGAGATATAGCTGCCCAAATGAACTCATTGGAGTTCACTTTTCAGAGACATTCCTTGTCCAATTTATACTCAACTCCCTGCCTGCTGAATATGGGTCATTCAAGATTTCTTATAACACACATAAGGAAAAATGGTCAGTTAATAAATTGCTTACCATGTGTGTTTAAGAGAAGGGGAGATTGAATCAGGAGAAGCTAGAAAGTGCTCACCTAGCGACTCATGGAAAGGGACATATCAAAAAGGGTGTGCAATTTAAGAAAAAGGGGAATGTCAACTAGCAAAGTTGACGATAAGGGTACCATCAAGTGCTTCTTCTGCAAAAAGAAAGGGCACATGAAAAAGGAATGCCCTAAGTATAAGGCTTGGCTGCTTAAAAAGGGTAATCTCTTTTCCTTTGTGTGTTATGAATCAAATGTAGTTAATACATTTAATAATACTTGGTGGATTGATTCTGGTTCTGCAATTCACATTGCCAATACCATGCAGGGTTCAATCAACCTAAGGAGACCGACGAAAAGTGAACGTTTCATCTATTCGGGAAATAAGATGAGTTCACATATGGAGGCGGTAGTTAATACATTTAATAATACTTACATTAGAACTTGAAAGAACTTTTTATATTCCAACTTTTTCTAAAAATTTGATTTCTATTTCGAAACTTGTTGGATTTGGTTTTAGTTTTAATTTCTTTAATACTTCTTTAAGTATTGTAAAAGATTCTGTTGTTATTGGTAATGGTGTTTTGGTTGATGGTTTATATAAATTAGATTTAAACCCTAATATTGCTCATAACAACTTAACCTTGCATAGAAATATTGGCATCAAGCGTAAGGCTAAAACAGAGAAATCTTCTTCATTATGGCACAGGAGATTAGGACATATCTCCTTACAAAGAATTAAAAGATTAGTAAATGATGGAGTACTTGATACTCTTGATTTTTCTGGTTTTGGTATTTGTGTGGACTGCATAAAGGGTAAGTAGACTAACAAAACCAATAAGGGTGCCAGAAAGAGTTCTCAAGTTTTAGAGATCATATACACTGATATATGTGGACCTTTTCAAATTTCATGTTTCAATGGTCAAAAATATTTTGTCACCTTTATTGACGATTGCATGCGTTTTATGTATCTTTACCTTCTAAATGATAAAAGTGAAGCACTTGATGCTTTTAAACCATATAAGGTGGAGGTAGAGAAACAAAGGGAAAAACAAATCAAGATAGTGCTATCGGATAGAGGAGGAGAATATTATGGTAGATATACAAAACAAGGACAAAGACCAGGTCCATTTGCAAAATTCCTTATGGAGAATAGCATTATAGCACAATATTCGATGTCAGGCACACCAGAACAAAATGGTGTAGCAGAAAGAAGGAATCGAACGCTAATGGACATGGTAAAAAGTATGATTAGTAATTCTTCTCTCCCTTTATCTCTATGGAATGAGGCCTTAAAAACCACTGTGTATATCTTAAACAGGGTTCCAACCAAATCGGTTCCAAAAACACCCTTTGAGTTATGGAATGGTTGGAAACCAAGTTTAGAACACTTACACATATGGGGTTGTTCAGTTGAGGTCAGGGTGTACAATCCTATAGAGAAAAAGTTGGACTTAAAGACAATAAATGGGTTTTTATTAACTATGCAGAAAAGTCCAAGGGGTTCAAGTTTTATTATCCTTCACATAAACCTATTATTGTTGAGGCGAGAAATGCTAGGTTTCTTGAGGATGTTGACATTAGTGGGAGTGAACAACCTCGAAATTTAATTTTTAAGGAAACACGGGATTTGATTGTTAGACCTGTGACTAAAGAACCTTTACTTGTACTTCAAGATATTTCTCAAGATGTTATTATGGAAGAACAGGTAAATCAAGAAGTTCCTACTCACGAGAATCCTATTGTCAATGAACTTGTTCTAAATGAACAGATAGAGTTAAAAAGGTCCTCAAGAGTAAGAAAACCTGCAATCCCCTCTGATTATGTTGTATATCTACAAGAAATTGACCATGATATTGGAATTGATAAAGACCCAATTACGTTTTCACAAGCCATGAACGGAGAAAATTCAAGGTTATGGTATGATGCCATGTTAGAGGAACTAGACTCTATGGCTAAAAATCAAGTCTGTGATTTGGTTCAATTGCCAGAAGGGGCTAATGCGGTTGGCTGTAAATGGGTTTATAAGACTAAAAGAGACCCAAAAGGCAAGATTGAACGATATAAGGCCAGACTTGTAGCCAAAGGGTATACCCAAAGGGAAGGCATTGATTACCATGATACATTTTCTTTCGTTTCTACAAAGGATTCCCTTTGTATTATCATGGCATTGGTAGCTCATTTTGATTTAAAGTTACATCAAATGGATGTGAAAACGGCATTTCTTAATGGGGACTTAAATGAGGAGGTATACATGAAACAACCTGAAGGTTTTCATTCAGATAAAGAAAACAATATGGTTTGCAAACTCAAGAAATCCATATATGGGTTGAAACAAGCTTCATGTCAGTGGTATTACAAATTTCATGATGTTATCTCTTCTTTTGGGTTTAAAGAGAACATCGTTGATCAATGTATATACCTTAAGGTTAGTGGGAGTAAGTTCGGGTTGTGCTTCAAGTGTTGCTCCTATTGTCAAGGGTGACAAATTCAGTCTAAATCAGTGCCCAAGAAATGATTTGGAAAGGGAAGAGATGGAAGTCATTCCTTATGCATCTGCAGTAGGATGTCTAATGTATGTGCAAGTATGCACTAGACCAGACATTGCATTTGCAGTAGGAATGTTAGGCAGATACCAAAGTAATCCAGGAATGGATCATTGACGAGCTGCAAAGAAAGTGATGCGATATCTACAAGGAACAAAGGATTACATGCTGACATACAAAAGATCAGATCTTTTGGAAGTGGTTGGATATTCTGATTCTGATTTTAGAGGATGCATTGACTCTAGAAAGTCAACATCAGGATATGTATTCCTCTTTGCAGGAGGAGCTATCTCATGGAAAAGCTTAAAACATAAATCAATCACTTCCTCTACTATGGAGGCGGAGTACGTAGCATGTTATGAGGCTACAGGACATGCCTTATGGTTACGGAATTTTATCACAGGTATTAAAATTGTGGATTCCATCTCTAAGCCATTGAGAATCTATTGTGATAATTCCGCTGCAGTTCGTTTCTGTAACAACAATACAAGTAGGAGTTCAAATAGGTGGATTGATATAAAGTTCCTTGTTGTTAAAGAAAAAGTTCAGAATCATCAACTGTTAGTAGATTACATAGGAACAAGGTCAATGATCGTAGATCATATGACAAAAGGTTTGCCACCCAAATTGTATAAAGAACATGTAGGACATATGGGGCTTATTGATATGTCTTGTGTTTGATTTACTGAGACGCTTTAAAGTTTGCAATTGCATTTATATTATGATGATTCTTAGTTTTTTTTTATTTGTCATTTTTAAGGAAGTATACATTAAGTTTATAAATGACAAATTATCCTTTTGGATAATAAAGTAGGACCTTAGAATGGGCTTATGGGAGCTTATTCATACAGATAGTCCATTGGGACAATAAAGTTGACTTCCTTGAATAGTTTTTGAAATAATTATTTATAAAGTACAACCACATAAAGATGTTTATCTAAAAAAAGACAGTGATATAATGATACATGGAAGATAATACTCATTTGTATAGTGTAATTTCCGCCATGATTTATACACTGAAATTCTATAGATAAAAATTTTTTAGTTCTCAAACCCACAAGGGTAATGAATGTGTTAATATTGGCCAAGTGGGAGATTGTTGGACACGTTTATTCATTAAACGTGGTGTGGCTTATATTCTCACACTATTCTAACCACTTACACTAACACAACGTTACTGGGAAGTTACGACTACGTGGTTTTTAGGAAGTTACGGTGGTTTTATAATAACTGCCATTTTGAATTAAAATAGAAAAGAGGACTTGTATGATAGATTACTTGCTTCTCGATTTTATTTTTTACAGAATCCTACAGAGGTCCCATATCTAACAAGTACACGCATCGAGACTTGTACAGGCGTTAACATCATTAGGATTTCCAAATTTGTTTTGCAGGCATTAACCAAACTGATTTCATGGCTGGAGGTAATGCGATCTCTTTAGACTTGATAGTTTCTTTCACCAATGACTCCTCATTGTTCAAGAAAATGTTAGGTCTCCAAAATTAATGATAGATTTGTTTATTGAAAGCAACATAAATAGATTTGTTTAGATATTGTGTCTATTTTCATCTTTTCAGCATAGGAATTACTCTCTGTCCTAAAATATTTAGACATTTTGAAAAATATGATTTATAATTTTCATAATGTCGTATTTTTTTCATATATTTTTTTATTATCAATTTTGTAAATTGTGATTCACAATTATATAAATTATAATTTACGAAGCAAGCATTAAAAAAAAGAGATGGGGGATAGGACTAATTTTGTCAATAATGTCACATCATATTTGGTGGAGGGAAAAAAATATCATTTTTGATTGGACATACGGACGACATACCATCCATGCGATAAGAGTCATAAGACAAGTTAATTGCAATTGGGGTTCTGGCAACATGAATTTACGGTTTTTACTCTCTTTTTTATTTTATATGTGAAATTGTTCACTATATTTAACTTGATGAAGTCATTTTTAATGACATCATTCTATGTTATTTTTGAAGTTGTCAAATTATATATATATTTTTTAACTTTGTTACTTTTTAGATAACCAGTATTCCTCATTTCAGTTGAAAATATAATAGAATTAGAAACCAGCAAAGCCTATGAAATTTAAAAACTTCATTTTTCTCTATAAAAACAAAAAGTATAATTA